CGCTCGTTGCTTTTCCATGATTCTGACTCCGACTTCTTCTGGTCGCACCAAGTCGAGTCGCGTACGCAAACTGCGGCCCAAGAACAACCGGGCAGGTGACTGTCCCGTTGTGGCGTGTGGGGCCTGACAATACTGACGCAGAAACTTATTTAGATTTTCTTGCAGCGACGCTGGTGTTGTTCCCATTGCGCTCAACGCGTTTTTCACTGTTTACACGTACCTCTCAGCTTGGCCATTCGTCGAAGGATGATACGGAGCTGTTCGCTTATGGTACTTTACTCCGCTTTGCTTGAGGAACTGACTGAACTCACCAGCTGTAAACTGAGTACCATTATCTGAAACAATGGTAACTGGTGACCCATATGTTGAGAACAATTCATCCAGGAGTTGAACNGTAGCCTGCGTAGTAGTAGACTTGGTAGGCTTAACCTCAAGCCACTTGCTGTAGGCGTCGACAATTACCAACAGCATCGAGCCCGCAACTGGTCCTGCATAGTCAACATGAACCCGTTCCCACGGGCTCTTTGGGTACTCCCAATGATGATCCAGAAACCGTGTTGGCGTATTAGCATGTTTCGCACACTCCCCACAGGACTTGACACTCTGTTCAATCGCTCTATCAATACCAGGCCAATAGACGAAGGAACGAGCAATGCCTTTCATCTTGACAATCCCGACATGTGCTGAATGGAGATCACACAGGATTGCCTGCTGTAACGACGGTGGAATCACCACCCGATGCTCGAACATCAAACAACCAGAGACCAATGTATAGTTCGCTTCTGGTGCCTTATATCCATAACGGCCCAAGTCGCAACCTTCCTCCAGTAGTCGAACTAACTTTCCCAACTCGACATCCTTCTTCGTCTTGCGTGCGACGTGAGTTGCTCGTACCGGCAACTGATTAACTTGACAAAGGACAAACGATGTGAGAACATCATCGATCGTTTCCGGCTGCTTCTCGATAGTTAGTGAGTGCACTGCACTGGTTGTGGGTAACAACGGTAAGCGCGAGCAGTAATCTGCATTAGTATGGGCTTTAGTTGGTCTAAACATGACATCGTAATTAAAGTGCGCAAGGTAATCTGCGTAATTTGCCATACGACTGATGCACAAAACCGGTAGAGATCTTGTTGGATGGAGGATTTGCACTAGAGGCTTGTGATCCGTAATGAGTGTGAAGTGGCGTGCATACAAGTAATGAAAGAACTTTTGTACCGCCCACACTATTGCCAACGCCTCCTTGTCAATCTGAGGGTAGCGCTGTTCAGTCGACGTCATTGTTCGACTTGCATAGGCAATAGGCCGTTCCAGACCATTGCTCAGTCGATGAGACAGGACTGCACCTAGGCCTGTTTTGCTTGCATCTGTTGCTAGTACAAGTGGTAGCTTTGGGTCGTAAGGCATAAGAACTTGTTCGGAAATAAGAGCCTCTCTGATATCGTGAAATGCCTTATTCGCTGCTGAAGACCACACAAGTGANTCCGTCCGTAACATGTCTCTCAAAGGTCGATCTTGCGTTGACAAATTTGGGATAAAAGAGCTGTAATAGGTAGCCTTACCCAAAAATAACTGCAATTCCTCACGGGTAGACGGCTTAGGCGCGTCTCTGACGGCTGCAATATGCTTATCTGATTTATGTATGCCGCTGGCGTCTATTTTATGTCCCAGGAACTCCACCGACGGTGCTGCAAACACGCACTTCTTCCGGTTCAGTTTAAGACCATGGGCTTTAATTCGTTCCAGTGTGGTGTCTAGAGCAGACAAGAGGTTTTCGAATCCTTCTGCAAATACGAGTATATCATCAAAGAAACTTAAAACATTGGGCAGATCTTGCAAAACGGTTTCCATACGGCGTTGCCAGATTGCAGGTATATTAGCCGCACCATAGACCGCACGTTTGGGTCGTATTAATCCATGTGTTGGTGTGTTTAATGTTAACGCTTGGCTGAACTCACTGTCTACAGGTAAATGCGTGTACGCATCTGTAATATCCAAGTGGCAGAAGAGAGTTGCGCCTCTCATTCGATGAAAAAAATGATCGGCTCGCGGAATAGAATGCTCATCCACGATCATATACGGATTCAGTGTCGGCTTATAATTGCCGGTGATTCGTAACCTGCCATTACTTTTGACTACTACGTGGGTAGTCGATGCCCACTCTGAATACTCAACCCGTTCGTAAAAACCTGATGCAATCTTAGCATCAATTTCCTTGGCGTAAGCATCTTGTAACGCAAGCGGTATTTCACGCGCTCTAGCAAAAACAAGTGATGCTCCTTGTTTCCAATGCACCTTGGCTGGCGGACCAACAAGCTTTCCCGGCACCTCACTGAAAACGTCCTCATAACGACAAAGTAGCTGGCTCAAGCGATTATGTTGGGCTGTCGACAATTGTGGCGCGGCAACGGACAACGCATGGACCCCAGTCGACTCCGAAAAGAGATCCTTAAAGTCTATTTCACTGGCAAAATGTGAAATCCACTCTCTTCCAAGAAGAGTATCAAATAGACCCTCGACCACGTACAGGTACAGTCTCCTGGTTGTCGAGCCGATTGTCGCGTTGACTAAAACACGCCCGATGCAACTAACAGCATGGCCTGTATAACTAGCAAAGCGTCGAGTGGTGGCCTGCAAAGTAAAATGCGGTTTAATTGAACGCAGAGTCTGTACACTGATTACGCTACACGGTGCTCCCGTATCAAGTTCCATATCTACAAGTCGGCCATCAATTTTCACACTTAGTACTCGTTTACGCATCGCATCGGCTGGCTCTTTCACCTGAACCGTATTAATTGACTGAAGAGTATCGACATGCTCTGCCGGTTGTGAGGATACTGCCACCTGATCTGTGGTTTCCGTTGATCTCCTGGCCCTGCACACCTTCGCAATGTGTCCTTTCTTTTGGCAACTGTGACACGTAGCATCACGGAATTTACACTGATCCCGTCTGTGTGGACCACCACACCCATTGCAGGGGGACTGACCCTTGTTTTGGCCCTTGCGTGTATTTGGGTGCGCGCCTTGACTTCCTCGACCGCGAGATAACGATCGGGTGCGAGGTTGTTTCCTACTGTGTTTCACTTTAACTGGAACTACGCTTAGCTTCTGAATACCACTGTTTGGTCCAGCCGGAGTCGTTTTAATGGTGTCCGCTGTGACCCGCGTTGCCTCAAGAGAATTCGCAATTTCATATGCTTCGGAAAACGCCACTGGACTTTTTGCGATGATCTCATCACACATCTTCTTGGATTTCAGCCCACACAAGAACTGCTCAATCAGCATTCGATCTAGGAAAGCGCCGTAATCGCAATAGACTGCACCCCGCCTAAGGCGAAGTACAAAACTAGCGACTGTCTCATCTTCGCTTTGTACGATGTGGCGAAACTTAATACTCTCTGCAAACTTGTTTCTTGCACGATCAAAATGCTTCACGAGCGCTGTTTGTATCTCGTCGTACGTGAAATTCTCAGGCGAGCGTGGACTAACTAAAAACTTTAGGGCGTTATTTAATTCAGCCCCCATATACACTCGAGCGTATGTCGCATGTAGATCAACAGGAATTTTACTTAACTGAAGAGCCCAATCGAAACGCTGAAAGTAATCGCAGACTGTTGTTCCGTCCGTCGAGTGATATTCCGGTACCGTGAAAGTCGGTGTTTTAAACGACGCTGCTAGGGGTAACCCTGATGAACTCACTGTTTCGGCGCCCGAAGAAGCGGCTATGTTCGCCGTAGACGCCTGAATCGCGTTGGCGAGAAGACTCGAGAGCGCTTGCACCAATTCGGGTGAGACGTCCGTCATGGCGTTAAGAGTCTACT